AAATTGTTTTAAGTTCCAGGGTTTATCAGGGATACCCATGATTTTCACTTGAAAATATAGATAGCAATATGTACAATATAACAATTAGAACGATGACCAGGGGGTTGTTTTCTAAGCGTTCAGTATAAAAATTAAAAAACTATATCTCAGATAGAGTAGACATACAATAGATTGCCTCTACTAACAATATCGTCTTAGTAATAAGCAGTGTTCAGTTCGCTTAAGAACTTATAATAGTTCTGATTGCTGTAACAATACATGTATAAAAAAATAAAAAAACGTTTTATGTAAAATATAGTCTGCTTTTCGAAATCAACGATTTATAGAGGCAGGAGATGATTTGGTAAATCTATATCCGTATTTGATATTTGATACTCATCAAACCACTTAAATAATTATTATAGTTTATCTCTTATTATTCTGCGTATTTTGTAGAATATCATTATTGTGTTTTCATTAATAAACGTAAATTATTGTTGTAGCTCAAATGTACGAATAAAAACAATCAAACATGAATAAATGATGATCACAGATAGGTATTATTACATTAAAGTAAATCTGTATTAATTATGTAAATTATTTACACAAAACGTATTCTAGTAACTAGTCATGTTCGTCCATAATAATTGTTTAAAACGCCACTGAAATTTGGGTATTAAAAAAATAAACAACTAAGAACTTTACAACTTTTGCAATAAGACATCGATTTACAAACAATTGCCGAAGACAACCAAAATAGAAATGAGTAGTATATCAGCAAATTATTGTTCACTAAATGTCTTTACACCAAAATGCAGTCAAACGATTATGAATATCTATAGAGTTTATATATAGTAAACTGTATATTTAAAAATATTAAATGTAAAAATTATTAAATGAAAATAGTTTTTTTTGACATTGCTATAACAAATCATATCTATCATCAATCTCATCACAAGAGAATAGTTAACCGTTGGGTTGCCTTCTAGTAACATAGAATAAGGCATTTCATCATAATAGCTCACAGTTCCGATTATTGTTAAAATATAAGAAATTACGATTGTATTTTATATATATATATATATATATATTATATATATATATTAATTATAATTTATTCTGCAATCTGTTTTACATAAGCATTAACATTAAGCGGAGATTGCTAACAATAAATATCTAACAATATAAACCAGAAGATAGTAGTAGCAACAATTAGCGGCGTGTCTATTAGGTATATATACAAATATAACAAATAAAACAGAAATTGTATTACACGTTTCAAAACGCTACCATCTACAAGAATGCATAAGTCAAAATTGCAAAATCAAATATAATTTGCATTCAGAATCATACAAATTACGTAATTTCTATTTTAATATTACCATAAATCAAGTTTTATGCTTCTGCGACATATTGCTTGTCCGCGTAAAATATAATTATCAATAAAAATTTAATTGATACTTTGCAGCACAGCAGCTAAACTTGAACATGAACTTGATCATGAGACTTTAAAACCAAGTTCACAATATGAAGACAAAAATATTACTTGAAGACAATGACGCAATCGTGTTTATCTGATAGAAGCCGTTAGAGCAGTGTCGTATTTTCAACCTTTCACTACCACGACATCACTTTTAATGTTTTGCAATTAGTGGTTACAGGTGAAATTGAAAGTCATATGGGTTCCAAACGGAACCCATTGCTGTTAATATGTTGGTCGTTAATTCCTGTATCCTTCTGTAAACGTATTAAAAATTTTTACTGTTTCCATGAGTTTATGATCTTTCTCGGGATTCAAGAATGTAGTAGTAAAGGGCCTTATTAGTCTTTGCTAGAAGATGATTACTTTTTTGACGATTTCTATATATGATTTTCGCGATAAAATAAGTTATAATCAGTTATATAATCAGCAAATAAGTTATAATCAGTTATATAATCAGCAAATAAGTTATATCACAAAGCTGACGAAACTTCTATGAAAAAATAAAATAAAATTATTAATTTTATTAATATTGAGCGTCGTATAGTAGTTCCGAAGCAAGTGGGCTAACAATTTCTAGTCCTGGGTTCAAACCCAACCTTGGCCAATTCGGTATCAAGCAGTATGATATCTAATAAAAATAAATTTCAAATATGATCTCTAGTGAAAATTGTCTTCCGAGAGCATTGTTGCTAGGGTTGTCTTTTCGTGAAATAGTTAAGTCTTCACACAAACAGCTTATAGAGTTAATAGCTTTGAGCAGTTCTGATTGCTATTGAAACAAAAAAATATTATTCATTTTATATTCACCGGTACGTTGTGAAACATGTTATGAGCTAAAACTTATTTTACAATTTTCTGATTTTGAGTACAAGTACTAATCACGGATTCTTCAATATCTTATACGAGTATATAAAAATGAATTGCAAAATGTGTTGGTAAGCGCATAACTCAACAACGCCTGGACCAATTTGGCCAATTCTTTTTTTAAAATGTTCGTTGAAGTCCAAGGATGGTTCTTACAGCGAGAAAAATTCTAATAATTGCCGGGAAAACCCTAAAAACATCCCTTTTCTTTTTCTCATACAAACGTTTTCTAACTTAAATGTAGAATCAATTTGAGCTTTATTGCTATTATACAAAGCTCATATTAAATTACAAGCACTCACTGTATACTCCTCCTAAACGATTATTCGGATTTTGATAAATCTTTCTAAAGTTTCTTAAGGAAATTTTCTAGGACGTATGTGATTATAAAGAACTGGGATGTATGTGCGATATTGTAGAAATCTATAATATAAAATAAATGAAAATAATTGAAAAAAACGGCATGTAATTGTTTGCATTGTCAACAAATGAAAACTATCATCTGCCAAAAATTTCAATTTACTTATGAACCTAAATCATATTAGAATATGTATAATAAATTCATTATTATTAATAAGAAAAATGAAATGTCTGCATTATCATTGCCAAAAAACAGCTGAGATGTGCCAGAAATTAAAAAATATACAGTATATGATGGCAGATTGAATGATATACATATGAACAGGATATGACAAATTAATTCACTTATAAATATGAAATTAAGTATTAATCAGTCAATAATTATTATTTTTAGGTAAACGGTAAATATTAGTATTATATTAAAAAATTGTCGACATGGGTACAGGACAACGTCTGTCAGGTCATCTAGTTTAATATAAAAAAACTCAGACACAGGGCACACTGACATTTAAATAATAGCAATGTGCCAAAATCTTAAAAATATGCCAGTGGGTCAGAAAATATTGTCATATTTTTGGAACTGCATCAAGTACAGGGTAGATTTTTATCTATTACAAACTTTTATATCATTATTATTATTATTACTATTGACATTAAAATTAATTTATGCTTTACTATTATTAATTTATATCGTAAGAATTAATTTATAATAAAATTAAACGAGATTATAGTTAAATGGTATGTAATCGTTAGAATTCGATACTGTATTACATTTTTTTTGCTTATTGTGGCAAATCTTTGTGCCATTACGCAATTGGTATAAATATGCGTGCATGCTATTCTCAATTTACAACCAATGCAATGATTGGCAATTATCCAATGTTGTGCGACATTGCAACATATTAGGCTAGGGCACTTTTCATTGGCGCTGAGAATAAATTTGAATCAGATGGACCAATCAAATCAATAGAAACAGTCCCTTAGATGTATATGATCAGTGATATTAATTATTTAAGCAACGATGCTAAGCGCGTTCGCGATAGGCCTTGAACGTTTTGGTTTGAACTTTGTCCTTGTGCAAAGTTGCGAGCAAAAAACAATGGCAGCCAAAGATCGAAAAGGAAAAACTTGTTTCTAATAATGGTTGTTTTTAATTTCCCAAAAAACTAAGTTTTTGTTTTCTATATCCTAGTCTATTCAATGTTCTACATGATGTTGGATTTAAAATACATCTTTTAGTTTCACCTACTTTTTAGCTATTGTAATCAACTAAAGTATAATAACATGCTAGTATTTTCAACATGCCCTAACTCCAATCAAATTCAATCACCAATACTATGTCTAATATCTTCACATTCGGTATTATTTATTATAGGCAGTACCAGGACTAATCCGTGGATTTCTAGCGTGCGAGTCGAACATGCTACCACTGATTTCTGCCCGCCGCAGCAAAAATATTAATGCTCTAAAATGATGATTCAAATAGCTTCAGTTTCATTTTATATCTTCATATTCCTTGAAATGAAATAGTTTC